TCAAATACCAAAAAAAAAATGTTTAGATCGTCGCTTTATATGGGAGGTGGTCGCTAACTAGCAGCAACTAATTGAGCTTTCAGAACAGGAATCAACGATGAACTCCTTTATAATCACATAGAGAGGTTCAATGCACCATCTTCACCAATCAGAGTCCCAAAAGCAAACCAAAGTTACCAAGATGATGTCGCAACAGGTCGGCTTATGCTCTGTGAATACGGGACAGAGCCCAGCGATGAACACCTTTACAATAACATACAGTCATTCAATAAGCCGTCATCGCCTGCGAGCTAAGGCCATGCAGCAAACCAAACTTACAAAGATGACAAGAAAAAAGGGCAACAACCGTCAAAAGATATCGGGACAGGTCGGCGTATGTTATCAGCCATGATAGCTGTATTTGCCCTATCCTTCTTGGCAATAACTGCTTCATTGATAACAACAAAAATTATGTCTAAAGGAACAAGTAAAACAGAAGGTATATTGTAATTTTTTAAGACAGATTTTAGAGTCTAACTTTGGCGTGCTTCGTTAGTGCGTCGATTTGGCTAATTTTTGATATATAGTCTTGGAATGTTGTCCTAAATGCTGAATGATATTCCGTAGGCTCGAGTTCTCTTTACTTTTAAAGATTTTTATGATTCCTCGATGGGCCATTAATTCGAAAAAATCAGTTTTAGCCTTGGAAACAAAATATTGGGCCGTTTCGGGGAGTGAAATACGGTCCTTTTTTATCGTCTATCTAATTAGTCCAATTATCAAAGAGCTGATTAGAACACTCGGGCTGAAATGAAGCCGGGTAAAACAAGTGATTTGATAGGGTTTTACCGGATAGATTTTGAGGCGGGAAGAAAACAATACCGGATAGGGCCTCTGTTCACACAAAGGCACGGTGATTTGGGCGCGACTTCTGTAACGGCGCGATGTTGCGCCACGCCGATATCTAAAGTAGAGAGTCAAATATCAAATAGGTGTTCATACTAAAACGGATCGATAGATTTTCGTGTCGGCACGAAAAGCTATCCGGTATAGGCTGAATATAGCTTTAGTGTTTGTATGATATTATTTTTCATACTAAACCGGATCGATAGTTTTTCGTGTGGGCACGAAAAGCTTTCCGGTATAGGGTGAATATAGCTTTAGTGTTTGTATGATATCATTTTTTAGGCTACACGCAAATAGTGTATGGAGTGACCGGAAATCAAATGCTTAAGCTCTTTCTACAATGGATCTCTGTGTGACTACGATACGCTAAAACAACGACGAAACAACGCTGGCAGAACTGCCTTCTATTGTAGTTATGAGCGCTTATCGACCCTTATCAAGTCGCGTATTAACTCTGGAGTTTTTTCACGAATCACATTGCCTTTTTTTGGGTTTCTGAATAATCCGCTTGTTCTTTGTACCAGTACTGTTTCTGTATGAACGAATGTTCACCGCAATACTTTCAAGATATTGCCAACTTATATTGGGCAAAGGGATATAAAATGACGTCAATAACACAGACTATCGCCACAAAAAGGCAAGGTAACCGAGAAGCTCAGCTGAGGTCGAGGCTGTGTTAGCTCAGCTGTTTTTTGGTGGAGCTGTTGAAAAGAACGGAAAATGTCACACGCTGTGCGAAAAAGAAATATTCGAGCTACTGCCTAAAAACATAGCAAGAAGAGCAAAATACAAATCTGCTGATGACAACTGCTTTTTGAAGAATATCTGCTAAACCACGGCAATCAATCCCGTTTAATATCTGTAGCTTCTGTTCTCATTCAGCTAAACCAGCATGGCGCCTTCAAACAACATCCCGACACTACACAAGCGTTTTACATGCCTGGACTTTGAAATTTTCCTAACCCCTGAAAAAATGCTCCTTTTCCGTCAAAGCCTACAGAAAATTTCAGTTATGAACTGTATCTGCCCTCAGAAAATTTGCCCTACGAGTCTAATCTTCTAATAGCTATAAGAAATTTTTGCTCTTCTGCTTCTTACCCTCAGAAAATCTGTCTTTCATTCGTACAACCTTCAAAAGTTTTTGCTTTTCAGCTACTTCTCCTCAGAAAATCTGCTCTTCAGTCCTTCAACCTTCCAAAATTCCAGTTTTTGTATACCTAGCGCTTTTTTTCTCTTAACAAAATGTCGCCAACTGGGGGATGTGTGTATTAAATGGAATGGCAATTACTTAATATATAAGAACAAGAGAGAGTTCATTATACTGGCCATGGGTCGGGCCGGGAATGATCGTTTTATTTACTTTTCATGCATCCAAACAGTGAGGGTTTCTCTTCTATCAGATATGTCCCTTGAAGAATGCGAATTTAAAAAAGTTAAGTTAAAACTGATACTGATCAGTAAAATTAAATTAAGGCTTTAAAATTTTTCATTTACCAAAAGCGCAGGTAGTCTATGTTGTATTGTTTCTAATGGGATGAGACAACAACTGTCCGAGATAAAGCAAGTAATAAATGATTGGAAAGTTAACAAACTGGAGAAAGTGAAGTGTTTCGTAAGGAGAAACAGCAGCTGGGCTTGAAAGGGCAAGAAAAAAATGCTGCGCAAGTTAATCATACTGATGAACTCAGGTTGACTTATGACAAGGTACAACAGATCCATGCGGAGTAACAAGTAAAACAGAATTCGAAAGTAAATCAAACGGAAGCACGCAGAATGCTTGATAAAGTGTTACATGGATGACCGCGGAGTTAAAACAAGAAATAAGGGCTTCGAAAGTAAATGAAACTAGAGAAGGCAGAGTGTTTAATTGAGGAGGCGATAGAATGGATGACCGCTGAGTTAAAACAAGAAATAAGGGATTCAAAACTAAATCAAACTGGAGAACGCAGAGTGTTTGATGAGGCGATACAACGGATGACCGCCGAGCTAAAACAGGAAATAAGGGCTACGAAAGTAAATCAAACTGTTGAAGGTAAGGTAAAGTCAATCTTCAGAGGGACAAGAGTTAAAATAGTTACCAAACTGTCGAGCGCGAATGAACCTACAGGACGTTGCCCAGCCCTTCCGCACTAATACAGTGTTGGAAAAAAATTAGTAAAAGCTTAGGGGAAAAATTAATCCTGGCCTTTTATTATCTTTGATTATTATCCTTTTCTGTATTATAATTTAATCTACTGTACACGGCATTTCTGTTTTTGTTCTTACGGGATGTTAATTTCCATGCAATACATGCTGGTATTATTTGCAACGTTATTCGAATTTTAAATTGTTGTGTCATTGTGATAGAACGTTTTCGAACTATCAGAATTCATACTTGGCTGTGAAGCTGAAGAAAAAATATGCTAGCTTTTTATCTTTAACGAGCATGATCCTGTGCGTAAAACATTACCATTGACGGGTTTTCGTTCAAAATGTTGATAGACGGATATCTATGAATAATTCAGTTAACAACCATATTAACAGGAGTTGAATTGGAAGGTCAAACCCAATGGCCTAAGCCGACGAGATGAATTGTAACGTATATCCTTTATTAGATTTTTTTTAATTTTTTTTTTATTTTGTATGTCATTTCCGCCTCTCCCTTTTAACTACCAATTTTTATTCGGACATTCCCATAAGAAATTTTTTTAACATTTGTAAACCTGAAGAAGGCTGATTTGGCTTACTGAAATATAGCTTGAGAAAAAGTTTTCACAACACGTTGTTATCACCTGTGCAGTTGTCTTTGGACTTCTGTTTTTTTTTTTCTCTTGATATTATAGCTGATTAGATCTCTTTTCTTAAGATTCAATGTTGACAGCAAGCAGGATCTTCGTTCACGGTTTTTGCAATTTATTTCTTTATCCTAAAACAACACCCTAGCCTGAGAAAACAGCCGACATTTAGCGACGCTACCACTGGTTTCCCCACCAAATGACGTCTGAGAAACGAGCCCAGAAATTCCATACTGATGACGCGTCACTACCCAGATCTGGGTAGTGCTTCTGATTGGCTGAATCAAATTTATCACGCGGCACGACCAATCAAAAGCACTACCCAGATCTGGGAAGTGACGCGTCACCAGTATGGAATTACTACGCTCTTTTCTTAGACGTCATTTGGCGGGGAGACCAGTGGTAGCGTCGCCAAATGTCGGCTGTTTTCTCAGGCTAACAACACCCCAACAATGAATAGAACTGACTGACAACCTATAAAACCATTGAAATATTCTGAGTTTGTGGAGTGAAACATTGCAGGGACGAGATTTCGTTCAAAATCCTCTTGATGGATATCTATAGATAAGTTAATTGACAGCAATATTGATAGAAATTGAAGATTTTCCTCTTTGACATGTGCTGTAAATTAATAGTTGGCCCAACAAATGCTCAAAAAGGAAACAGTTTTTCAATATTGCTGCGAACGCCCCGGGGAGGAGGGTGAGTGCCTTGAAACGGAAAAAGTTTCTGGAAACACCGAAATCAACCTACAAGAGTTACTACACAGCCTATGTGATGTAAGAAGCATTTTGCCTTTTCCTCTGTATCGTATTCACCGATTAATTAACCCTCAAAGCCGCTGATTGGTCAAACGGTTAAGACGCTAATAGACCTCTTTCACCATTCCCGCCATCTTTGCAGCAGGCGCGTGGAATTTCAGGGGGAAAACAAGTGATAAAATTTGCCAATACGAGTAATTGCGGTGGACTTTGTTTATTCTCTCAAAACAAAACGACGATTTTCGTCTTGCATAATCTGCTTTTCGAGTTAGTATTGCTCGGTGTGAGGACATCTACGGTCGCTACTGTATCCAAGGAAAGAAACAATGATCACTTCCACTGAATAATTCTCCATTATCGTCTTTAAGACAAAAAGTTCTTCAGTTTTGGTTGTCCACAATAAACTAAGCTGGCCGCGATTTCTTGTATTGGCAGAGAATGGCAGAGTAGTTTGCCCCCCGAGAAACCACGTAACATCGTTTTCTCCCATCAGACCTTAAGCGCTTGCTGGTATCATGAATAAGGTCTATTCGAGTTACTGAATTGGAGACATTTTTTTGTTTTAGTTCCCTGGATCAAAATGAAGACTTCTCCAGTATGTTTTGGTGCGAGAGACAACACGTTTGGCAGTTTTGTTGTTCCATCTAGTGGAAATCTGGTATCAGTAAAACTGGTCCACGTGTATGGTTATGTGACATGCGATAAAAGAAATCTCGCCATTGGTCCTTTTGGGGCTGTGGCCACTACCCTAAAGATGTAAACGTTGTAATAACAACCTCGTTTGATAAAATTCTTTTAGCGTCAAACGAGTTCTTCTCTGGATTGGTGCTCAGGCGCTTTCTCCAGAGCTGGTGCTGTCGTCTGTCTCCAATCCTCCAAACGTGGCTGGAGGACAGAAGCTCCGTTTGTGGTACGGCCAAGATTTGGCGAATAGCCTTGAAGGCAACAATGGAGGAACATCGTGCTGCGATGTTTAAGTTCGCTTGGTATAAGGAAAGCCATGGTAAGCCATCAAAACGCATCTGTTTCCGCGTACAATACGGAATGCATGATATGGAGTAATAGAGAGATTAAGCATCGCGGCAAGCGTGAGATTCAAGTAGAAAATTTTTCAAAATGAGAAATGAGCAGATAAAAGCTGGTCGAAGCAATTCTTATGAATAGAACTGGCGTGAATCTATTGACTTTAATTTCTTGTAGCTATAATGAACATTAAACGACAAGTAAAGGGGAAACTTGGTCGGGTGGTACAAATTCACGTTTGCCGTTTACCGTAAACGCGATGCTTAATCTCTGAATGTTCAAACTTAAGCCGAGGAATTAAGATAAATTTGATAGATTATGGTTCTTTATTAACCGCTTATAAGTGCAGCTCATGGCGAACTCAATAAAACAAACTTGAAACTATATGTACGTTCATTTTTTAATGCTTTCGTTTCTGGATCCCTGTCAAAGTCCCAACGAACAACACGGTAAACGCCCTAAGTTAAGGCTTGGGTTGGGTTGCCAGTAGCCTAACTTGGCATCTTCTCGCAGCGGTGTACTGTGGTCGTTTTGCTACAAAGTTGTTCCTCCTACCAGTCGTTTCGCTGTATTAATCTCTGATGAGTTATATTTTAATGCTATGTGGTGCTTCCAACTGACTGCTTTGGGACGATCATTAAGAATGCTGAAGTATTTAACATATTCTTTCCTTTGTAAGAAATGAAAGGATTTACAATGGATTCATTTGTTAAAAAATTCATCAGTTTACGTCAGTCGTAATCAATTCGTTTCTGATATGTGGCCACAACTAAACTCGCCACATTTGATTTGTCAAACTTTTGTTTTGGATTTAAATTCTCATTTAAAATATCATCGGCAAACAGAAAGAAACTAAACTGATCAGATAAATTAGAAATATCTATATATCAATGACGATAGGAGACCCAAAACAGAGCCTTGTGGGACACCAGACGAGCTAACCTCATAATTATTTAGAATCATATAGGCTTTCTTTTATTGTTTGGGGTCCTTTATTCAGATAAGAGCAAACCCAACTATTAAATATACCTCCAATGTCATAGTGTTCCCGTATTTATTCTACTACATGGGAAATTACTGCAATTTGATTGGCTTAGAGCAGTGGTATTTCAGCTTAATTTGAAATACCTACATGTAAAAATTACAAACCGTTTGCGGGTAGTAGTATAAACAAATAATAGCATGATTTGTGCTTGATATTTGGCATAAATACCACTCGTGATATTTCACAATTGTCGCAAATTTCACTTGCCTAACCGCTCGTGAAATTATGTAGAACAATTTCGAAATATCACTCGTGGTATTTATGCCAAATATCACTACAAATCATGCTATTACCTATACATACACTAAAATATCACGATGTATTTTTCGATCAGTCAATATTGATTTCCAGTTTATTGACAATATCAATAAGGGCGTGCTTAGTAGAACAGCGCTCTTAAAAGCTGTATTGAGTTAAGAGTGTATGTCCTGTTTATCAATAAAAGATTTAAGTGGTTAATAGACATATGGTTAGTTTATTCAATTTGTTTTACAAAGAAGATATCAGAAACAATATTTCCACTTCCGCCACTGAAACGCTATTCGCTGTTCTTATTTATGAAAATTGTCAATAAGCGTTGATGAGATGTGCTGAAACACTCTTGTCGGCTTGTCAACTGTCAGTAGAGGGGTGGCGCCATAACGATCAACAGCTTCCTCCCTTAAAAAAGTCTAAGAAACGTTCCTCACGTGCCCCCAAAACAGCACTATAATGCATATCATTGGTAAATTGTAGCTCAATCCATAGTGCGTGAAATGCTGAAAAGATCCGACACACGGAATAGGATATGTTTGGTAATTAGTGGTCAACCACGAATCAATATAAGTTCTGTGAGTCGTTCCGGTCGTTTCGCTGCATCATAAAGCTGAATACTGAGAGTCATTCCGGTCGGTCTGCTGCAAAATCGTTTCGCTGAATCATAAAGTCGACTCACTGCAAATGACTTGTTATCAGGGTAAAACGTTTTAAAAAAACGTAGAATGAATTAAAGATGGGAAAGAAACAGTTAATACCAGTTCGCCGAGTTCATCATCGAGAATTAAAGCTGCAAACTTTGGGCATTTTCAGCAGCCATTTTTTTCCAATATGCCTGCAGGAGTCTTCGTATTTTCCAGGACCTGCAACAAACAGAGGCCTTGGAACAAATTCAAAGTTGTAATTTGAAATAGTTGGGTTACTTGAAAATACTTGACGTTCTTGACCTTGAAAAATTAGAATCTCTATCCGAATAAAGGGCCGTGTAGCGTGAAAAGGCTTCGTAATTATTATGTTATCAGAAAGAGAATGGCAGTTCCTGATGGAGTACTCAAAAGCGGCAATACTGGTGTGTACCGCTGAATGTTTACCAATTATAGAATAACGCCAGCTATAAATATTTCTGTAATTAAAGCTCTTTCATTTCGAAGGATTAACATTGATATATAATCTTTTGAATTCCTTGCTGATCACGACAAGATCATCGTTAAAAGTACTTTTTTCCAATTTTTTTACTCTAGGCAAAACATATTTGGTTAATTTCCAAGCTTTCTCTGGTAAAACATTGCACGAAAACATGAAACCCATGATAAACCAAAGGAAGTTCTTGATCCGTTTTCGAACTTTAAAAAAAGCAATATAAAATAACATTAATAATAATAATGATAATAATAATAGTATAACGAAGGATTTATATTATTTATCGTCACGGTATGTGTATGATAGGCTAGTCACATTTGCCTCACGATACTCACTGAAGTTGTTATTACCGATAGCGATGTTTCAACAGCGTACTGCTCTACTGCTGGTCCTTTAACATCCATAAACGGTGATGATGCCGATTTTCTGAGCGGAACTATTAGAAGCAGAGTAGAGTGGCTGCTCATGATTAGATAAAGATGATAAAAGTGGAGAGCAAGCTAGCGTCAAACTCAGCATAAAAGGAGCACAACCGTACTTGCCACAATCCGTTGCACCTAGAATTAACTTTTGTTCGCCTTAAAAATCAACACAGCATTGATCATGAGGCCCAATTGCAAGAGACGCTCAAAGTCCTACAAAATAGAAGAAAATTTTCTTGCCACCCAACTAACAAGTACGTGAGCGTTCTATCGAGTCCATCATCACACTATCACAGTGCCGTCGAGCTATGGGCAGCTCATCGGAGCGTGATTTAAAAATTTCTCATAGCACTACTTTTCACTGTTATGTGTCAACATTGAATAAATCTAATCAAACTTTTGCTCTTGAAGATGTTATAACAATGTAAGAGTCGACAAGGATTCGTAGGAGCCAAAATACTTGTCCGAGAAAGGGTGTCATTACAGACTGAAACAGTTTCAATTGGTAATTAACCGTGAACCTTTCCCTTTAAGGTAGAGTCTCGTGAGTTTAGTTGTCAAGCTTTCATTGCTTTTTTTGTACGTGACATTATTGACTTTATAGGTTTGTTGACCTTAGTGATCAACAGGAAATCTTAATAGTAACTAGGAAGTTGGTTCGTAATAGAGAAGAAGTGTGACGTCACAAAAAAAGCCCCCATGCCAAAAACCAGCATTTTAGTGCAAATTGGCGGGGAGATATAGGCACTTTACGTTCTGATGACTCCATACAAATCCTTCTAAAATTGGATAGGATCGAAACGTTCACGATCCAGACCAATTTCAGAAGGGTTTATCTGGACTCATTGGAGCATAACAATGCTTAACCTCCCCGCTTATTTGCACTAAAAGGCTGGTTTTTGGTTTTATGCAGAGTTTGATGCTAGTTTGCACCTCACTTATATTGCCTTAATATCTAATCATAAGCAACTATTCTGCTACTAAACGTTCCGCTCAGGAAATCGGCAACATCACCCGTTATAGATCTTTAAGGACTAGCAGTATCAGTAGCATGGCAGTAAGCTGTTGAAATATCCGCAATAGCAAAAGGAGTATCATGAAACAAGCGATAAACTAACCTATCATAAACATACCAAGATAAATACAATTTATTCGATTACTGTTATTAATAGACTATTAATATAATTATTTTATTTTGCTTTTTTAAGGTTAGATCATGAACTAGATTAAGACTGAAATTCCTTTGGTTGATCATGGGTTTCATGTTTACGTTCAATGTTTGGCATGCCTTCCTCGGTTTACCAGAGAAAGCTTGGAATCAACCAAATATGTTTTGGCTAGAGTAACAAAACCTTGGCGGCGACAAAAGGTGTTTTTGAAAAGGTTTTGTTGATTTTCTTCTTATTCAACAAAAACGTACTTTTAACGATGATCAGTTGTCGTGATTAGCCGGGACTGAGTCAAAAGATTATACATTATGTTAATCCTTCGAGATAAAACAGCTTTAATTACAGAAATATTCATAGCTGGCTTCATTCTCTGATTGGTTAACATTCACAGTTATACCCCGGTACTGCCGATATTGAGTGCGCCATCAGGAACTGGCAGGAACTACCATTCTCTTTCTGATTACATAATGATTGCCAAGCCATTTCACGCTACACGGCCCTTTATTCGGATTGAGATTCTACGTCAAGAATGTCAAGTATTTTCAAGTAATCTAACTATTTCAAATTACAAGTTTGAATTTATTTGTTAAAGGTGTTGGAAAATACGAAGACGCCAGGCATATTGAAAAAAAAAAAATTGCCGCTGAAAATGCCCCAGTGATTAACTCGGCGAAATGGTATTAACTGTTTCTTTCCCGTCGTAGTTCATTCTACGTGTTTTTAGAACGTGTTACTATTAAGTCCGTCGGTTATTTGTGGCGAGTCGACTTTATGATGCAGCGAAACGACTTTGCAGCAGAACGACCGGAACTACTCTCAGTATTCAGCTTTACGATGTAGCGAAACGACCGGAACGACTCGCAGAACGTACCTTCAGAAACCACTAGGTCTACTATGCGGCCCATATTGATTCGTGGTTGACC